GTAAAGCAAGTTTATATGCAAATCCCAATTATTTCTGTATTGACCCACAAAACATTTCTGAAATACCGAAAACCCTGAAAACAGGGTTTTATGATAATTTCCCCTAAATAGTGCTGTATTAGTAATTGCTGACTATTTTCGCATAAACATTTATTTACAACCTGTAAATTTATTTGAGGCAACACAAAAAGTTGCATGTGCAATAGAAACAATATTTATTTCATATTCAGATCGGCTGTTCACCTGTTTGATTTGCATTTGCTTTCATTTATCAAAGGGCCCATTTTATGGAGATTTCATGGAATTTTCCTTGCTGTTTAGAAATAAAAGAGTTTGACGCACTATGTAAACATTGTTAATGACACACCTTTCAATGCTCACTCCACACAGTCCATACATGAAAACTAGGCTGCAAAAACAGCCTGTTTTGAATTCACTGTTTTGATGATGTAATGAAAAGCAAAATACGTAAATAACTGTCTATTTAGTTTGCAGCAGCCATTCATGCTGAAGTTATGAGGAGTGTTTCAGTCAAGACTGCTTTTTGAATGAGGCACAACACAAGGCTGACAGTCAGAATAGAGGTTATTTACGTATATGAGTCTTAAAGGCACAGTAACAAAAACAGCCTGTTTAAATCTGATGGGTATAGTGAGGTTGGAAGGTGGTCATGTAAAATTAATTATGCTTGTTTTTGGTACATAAAATGCAACAAATATCGAAAGTGGACCCCAAGAAAAAAATACAAGAAATGTAAGCTATGAACTCTTTAAAGTACATTTAAATGTTTGCGATCCCATTATATTCCTTCTGTGCCATAAAAGGTAACAGAACAATAACTGTTATGTACCAGGTCCTTATAATACCATTAGCAATTTATTTTCCTCATCTTTGCATGAATTTACCTGATACTAGCCTCTCAAATGTAGGAAAGACATTTCCTCTTACATTTTGTTCATGGTTACATTTCAGCATGTGGTGTTCCTGATTGGCCGCATGATTGACTGGATGGTGCCAGACATTCCGGAGGAAGTGCAGATAAAGATAAAGAGAGAGCACTACATGGCTAAACAAGCTTTGGCTGAAAACCAGGTAAGATTACCCATGTGGTTGGGTTTTGCAGCATATTAGGGAGCCTTGAGCAAACATGGTAATGTTTATTGTATGTTAATGATTTAGCCACCACATTGTAGGTTAACTTTGAGGAATATAAACTGAAAATTATTGTGTCAATTCTCTTCAGACTTGAACAACAAACACATATACAAATAAAAAAATGAGTGTGCTGTATCACCAAACTAACAGCTTAAGTCTTTGTTAAGTTGAACAGTGAGAAAGTAGAAATGTTCTTACATGTCTGTCACTGTGAAGTCCTTAGAAGAAGCACTTCTGGAAGAGTCACCATCGCCAACCTCTGAGCTACGATACCGAGGAAGATCCGCAGCTTCACCTCGTGACACTGACTCTCCTCCTCCAAGTTTGACTCCTGTACCTGAGGACAAACCAGAGCCAGTTTAGAGAAGCCAAAACTAAAAATATGAACAGGACATGAACAAGAGGCCCCTCAAGAAATGGGAGAGAATTGCACTAATTAAGTTAAAAAGTTTGATTAAATGTTTTTAGACATTACAGGAACCTTGTTTCATAAGGATATATGTACACACAAAAATGAAAAGTTTCATGTATCCTCCAGTTTTCCCACAGCAAATAGGTTTGATGTAGTACAATGCTAACATTCTAATGTTATCAAAGGCACTGTAACAAAGTCTTCAACTGGAGTTGAGAAGCAGTGACAGTAACAGCAGTGTTGAACCATTTTATGTTATACTGTGTAGAGAAAATAAATGGTTGGATTAACCATTTATAACTTACAGTTTTGCCCAAAAGCTCCACACACCCCACTGTATTCTGGACTCCCTTGTGAGCACCTTTTAACATCTGATCAACCCAGACACGATCACTAAGTGGGAGTTCTTCTCACTTGAACCTCTCAGGACAAACCCTCACTCTGACCTCTTGTATTTGGCTTTATCAAGGAGCTGGATAGAGAAATGAGGCTGGTGAGAGAAGGGAGGGGTCACTGTGTGACCCATCAAATCAAGCATAGACCAAACATAAAACTCAAACCAAACACATAAAACCAAGCAATTAAACTTGGATGATGAATGAATGATGATCCACTGATTTCATAATGACTAATATATCAGTCATGTAGTGTTTAATGCTCCGGTTTAATGCCATATTGCTGGATTCTCGGAGCACTGCTTATATATGAGCTACTCTAATGACTCACTTTTAAAATGTTCCAGAATCAGTTAGCAGTTGCTAATTTATGAATCATATTGATTGACTATCGTAACACTACCAGTTTAACAATATTGAAAATACTGAAACAGTGCAGGGTCCTAAAATGACGTATTTATGTAATTTATATGACTAGCCACATTCAAAGAATTCAGTCACATATGTCTTTTCACCCTTACAGTAATGAGAGAACCTAAATAAACACTTATAGGAATAGTCTTTTGTGTGTTTGTGTCTTTTGTTTGTTATACAATACTTAAAAATGATTAAGCTGATCAGTGTTCATTTTCATATTGTGATAGGATTATTATAGGTATCCTAGAAAGTGCTTTCAGAATTAGATTTGCTGCACCTTTTTTGCATTATGACGAGGGTTGAGAAAGTAATAGTCTATACTATTCATATTGTAGCATCCTGCCACTGGCTCGCTTTGCTGTGGGAGTGTGGGAGGCATGGTCATGCAGAGCGGCCATGAAAGGAGGCTCTTGGGAAGTGATGTGTTCATAATGGGAGAGACATTTATAGTAAATAAGTTGCTGTTATTGTTAGCTTGAGAATGTGCACGTGTTATTTGTACTATTCTGTGGTGGGGGTAGTTGGTGCAGTCAGAAAAGTGTGGCTCAAGATTGCCTGTTAGCAGCACAGAGCAGTGGTTCTCCACTGCTGCCTGTTCAGTACTTGCCTTTAAAGTGCAATGTTTCCCATGTCTTCTTCTTCGCTGATGCCACATTAGTGTCAGAAGTGGGAAAAGGCCTCGAGTGGACTGGAGAGGAATGGTGCTTCCACAAACTCAAGGCAGACGGCGGAGATGATCAAGCTGCTCTAGGACTGTGGAAGTAGAAGCAGGGCAGCAAGAATGGGCGGCATAGATGGCAAAAGAGAAAGCAGCAGGCGAGGCTCAGCAGCAGAGCTCAGCCAGTAAGAACCTGCCAGCAGAGCAGCATGGTGGCCTGGCAGTGTTGACTGCAGTCCTCCAGCGTGGTTGGCTGAGGCTGAGAGACAGGGCTCCTGCGTGCACAAGCAGCACCCTTGCTGGCGTCGATGGTGCATGGTGGCAGAGGAAGCAGACAGCGGCTGAGGGAGTGCTGCTGCTGTCGCTGCCACCCCCAGGAATGAGATAATCGATGCCACAAGCTGCAAGCTGTGCCACCACACATGGGCCAGAGAACGAAGTGCTAAGTCTTTCCACTGTGGCACCCCGAGGGAAAGGACACAGCCCTGAGAGAGGACTGAACGCATAGCCAAGGAACGTCCCCAGTCCTTTCTTGAGAAGGTCAAACTCAGGATGGCTAGCTGACCTCAAAGTGGGGGGGCTATGTAGCATTCCGATACTGGCTCACTCTGCAGTGGAAGCGTAGGGGGAGTGGCCATGCAGAGCAACCATGTGAGGAGGCTCTTGGGAAGCAGCACGTTCATGATAGCAGAGATATTTATTGTTAATGAGTTGTTGTTGTTTAATTAAAGACGTACATGTGTTATTTGTGCAATTCTGTATTGGGCTGTAAGGTAGCTGGTGCAGTGTTAGAGTCTACCGTCAGGTAAAAGTGCTTGAGATGACCATGTCTGCTTCCCGGCCATGCTAAAGTTGAGCTGCACTTTTTCCTGGTTGCTTATTCAATAAAAGAGCATTTAGCTTTAAAGCCTAATGTTCCTCGTATCGTTCCTCTTTGCTGACCCTGCAGTACATAATATTATGCCTAGGTTATTCTCCTGGTAATTAAATATTGGTGAAAACATCTTGGATACAATTGAATAACCCTCAGCAACTCGCTTGCAGACAGGAACTCCACTAGCAGCTTTCTGTTAAACCAACTGTTACAGTGTATATTTCTTTTAACCCTGCTGTTTTAGTGAACAACACATAAACCCTGAGCATATTTTATCCCCTTCTGCACCGGTTTTCACTAGAGCACACAATTCACGTATGTAAAACGCGCACAGTTTGGATTTATTTTAAATGAACTAACTACGTGTGTACAGCGTTATAAATTCTACAGAACCTTTAAGTTTAAGGACTTTTATTTTGAATTCGTGGACATTTTACATACATTTACCCAAAGATATGTAGAAGAGAAACCAAGATGGTGCTGCATAGTCAAGTCAATGGGGCGAAAAGATTTACAGTTCCTGTCTGCTTAGGTCTTGCGTCAAACTCTTCGCCCTGCCCCCATCTCCCTGGGCAACAGCAGCAGCCTCTGCAGAAAGAGCAAACGCGAAACAATCCTAAATTCAGATCATCTGAAAATACGTGTTTAGGCTCACAACATGCCCTCACATTTACAAAAATGGCCACAGGCTCGCTGTTTTCTAAAAAGAGGGGTGGGGGGTCGCTAAAGTTTTGTAAAATGGGCAGAATATCCAGCTTGTGTGAATGGGACTCGAGTCTCTGTTGTCTGCTTAAGGGGGCGCTCACTCACCAAAACCACATGACCGCAGTCCTGGAAATATTTTGATATGGCGGCTCTCGCTTCATAAATCCTCTCAGATTTACCTCCGTGCTGCTTTTACGTTTGCGTGAGTGGGAGGGGCGAGCTGCTGGACGGATCTTTCCCGGGTTTTCGGACTCGGGCCTGTCTCTGGTACTGAGCTGGAACACTTATTCTGGTTACTTTTTTAGCGGTTTTGTCCAGTGGGGTACAAGTTCATCATTAGCGACATTCAGAAAAGGCGTTGTCGTTTGCTTCACTCTGGTGTGTGTTTTGAAAAAAAGTGAAGTAGTTTCTTAGCTCCCTAGCCAGTTAGCCTGCTAGCCAGTTTTAGCGCCTGTGTTTTTAGGTGAGTGAGGAGTTCTGGGCCTGAAGTCTGAAGTTGGCTGTGTTTTGGAGGATAACGCTGCGTGACCAGGCGTTTTTAAACAGTTCTCAGTTGTAATTATTTTATTATTATAGATTTTGTTCTTTGGGAAACTGACTGTCTGACATTACGGGAGAAAGATGAGGCTGAAGTTGGCTTGTTAGCTAAGTGAAATTTCTTTTGTTCCACCTTAAATTGTGCAGCGATTTCGTTCTCGCATCGCTGTCTAAGCAGAATGTGCCTGCTGAACCATTTACGGTGAAAAATTAGAATAAAAAGTCAACCTCAGCTTCATCCCAGGACGCTTTATTAGTTAAGGCTTGTAGCTATGTGTTTGTAGTAATAGTCATACGATAACTAAGATAAATCTATTAGTTTCAAACCTGAACCAACGTTTAATGCATGTAAAATAGTGTTATATTTTAAAATTGTATATTGGGTTAAATATGGGTTGCTGCACTTCTACGTAACGGCTTAGTTAATATGAAAGCCATAGCTGCTGTAACGTTAGTAATAAACTTGGCTGACTTAACGTGCAGACCAGCTCCATCCAGATGTTCTGACTGCATCATGTGTCATTTGGACGTTTATGTTTCTAGCGCTTCTTATTGTGAAGCTGTTTGTTTGATTTAGACATGACGTTCAAAAGTCTGTCGCTATCACAGAACTTGCACTGCGGGTTAGATCACTTACATGGTCTCGCCAAACGAACAGTCCCATTTGAGTAACTGCTTCTTTGTTTCCAAGTTAAAGGTTTTTTAAGCTGTTCATAGTACTCATTATAATGACAACCCTATCTATTGCCTGAATACCAGTAGGGATGTAGCAGTTGGTGCAAGATGATGTTTACAGACTGCGATTGCATCTCAAACAGCTCAGGAGACCATCTGGATGACGGTTGCATCTCTTCTGCTGTCGTACAGGTCCCTGCCGTAGAGACAGACTCAGAAAGAGTCCTACAGAGCATTCAGAGTGAGGGAGAGAGGCAGAACAGCGGAGGGATGCCGCCGGTGTCGGAAGAAGAAACAGAGCTGGTGCAGGAGGGCTCTGGAAATCTCACCCGTTCAGACTGCTTGTGTCCCATCTGCCTGGAGATCTTCCTGGAGCCTGTCACTCTGCCGTGTGCTCACACCTTTTGCAAGCCTTGCTTTCTGGAAACGGTGGATAAGGCCAATTTGTGCTGTCCTCTGTGCCGAAAGCGGGTGTCCACTTGGGCCAGGCTTAATGGCAGGAACAAGACACTGGTCAACTTGGAGCTGTGGAAACGTATCCAGGATGCCTTTCCTACACAGTGTCAGCGGAGATTAAATGGAATCGACGATGAGGAGGATATTAACAGTATGTACAATATTTGCTTTTAAGCGCCTTCTAAAGTAACGTAATGTTGGGTACATTCTGCCTAACAAGCCATTTTTATTTCCACAGTAGCTCAACTTGCAGAGGATTTTTTGCTTGTCTTTGTATCTTAATAGTATTTGGTTTTTAAAAGAGTAAGCTGACAAGATCACACTTCAGCCTGTATGTTTATACCAGAAGTACGTCCTGCTCTTTATACTTCACAGGTGTCCTTGTTCTGATCAAACTCATTAATGGTTTAGTGAGTACCTGAAAAGGTTAAGGGAAAGTGCTAATTTGTGTAGGCATATTTTAGGACTAGTTGCTGAGTGATGATTGAAGGCAAAACATTACTGCTGAAGAAGGAGATGCTGTAGATTTAATTCCAAAACAGTTCCCTGCAGTTTAACATTAATGTGCTTAAATTTGAACTGAAATAATACCTATGCTTTGCTGCACACTGTCAGCACTTTGAAACTCTCTTTGGTTATTTTAATTAGATTAAATTACAATCCAATTTGATGTAAATGCGTTTCCCCCTTTATTTTCTAAATCTGTGCCTTGTTCCTCGTTTCGCAGGTCTGATTCCAAAACCCAGGGTTAGTCAACCAGGAGAGCTCAGGCAAGAGTATGAGGACCAGATTAGCAAGGTAAGAAAGATTGTTGATTCTTTATATTTTTCCAAACATATAAATACAGACCACTGCGCTGGCAAAGTTGATTTCGTGTGATTTGTGGAGTGCTACAGTGTGGTGGAATGCAGGTGTGACTTCAAACAACACAATTGCTGCAGGGAAGACTGGAGTGCCCTGTTTTAGGTTCTTCTTTCCCTTAATGACACAGCTTGTAGAAGAGAAACGGGCCTTGGAGGAGGCAGAGAGGAGGGCCAGTGAGGAGTACATCCAGCGGCTCCTGGCTGAGGAAGAGGAGCGAATTACAGAGGAGAGGAGGAGGCAAGAAAAGAGGCAGCTGGAGGAGGACGAGAAATTGGCCAGAATGCTTAGCCAAGAGCTGGTGAGGCCAAAATACTCTTTCACTATAGAACAGAAGTATGAATGCACTGGAGACTCCGGATGCCCTGTACATGTGCCTCATAAGCTGGTACCTAATAATGCAGCCTTTTTTATTAGTGTTGAGTGGAGCTTTACCTCCATTGATATCTTTTGTGAAGGAAAACTTCATTTTAGGAGGCAGCCATTTTAACGTTGTATCCTCCTTTGTGCAGAACTCAACTTCTGTTTTGGAATCTCATGTAAATGTCAAAGTTAATGATGCTGCTTCAGCCAAGAAAAAGAAGCCTAGTGTTGGACACATTGAGAAGTGAGTGATTTCTTATTTGTCCTGCCTAGTTATCTGTTTTTCTTGTCTTTTTTTCCATATCTATTCACAAGAGAAATGTGTTTATTGTTGAGAGTAGTTCACTGAAAAGAACTTTGTCATATCTCAGGTTTCTATGCCCAGTGCCTTGGAGAAACGCAAATGCTGAAACCAGCCCAACCGCCAAGCTTTTGGCCAATAAGGTACTTTCTCCATAGCTCATGATTTTTATCTATAAAATGTGTTCAGTATACAGTAATTTTATGATTTCTTTAAAGGAGTGATTACAATGGTTCTGCTTTATGTATGAAAAATGTGTTGTTAATCAACCTGGTCTTTTTACAGTTTGTAAAAATGTGTATTTTTTTCAGGAAAACATTTTGAACACCCCACTACCATGCTGGCCTGACACGGTGGAGCCTACCAGCCTTGAAATGCCTATTTTGGACTACTGTGGCAAACCCTCTACCTCAAACTCAGATCCAGACGCTTCTGAACAGCTCTCTGGCATTGCTAGCAGAACAGACTTGTCCTCCAAGAGGAAGATGTCAGACACTGAGCTGGCTGATGAAACTGACTTCTGCAAGAGGCCATGTGGCTCGATACTTCCTGAATCGCCTCCACGAGAAGATATTCTGCAGGAAATGGCCCTTGAAGAGGAAGCTTTGCGAATCCGTTGGCAACAGGAAGAGGAGGACAGACGGCTGGCTCAGAGGCTTCAGAGGGAGCTGGACCGGGAAAGCGCTGTGAACCGCAGGAAGGGTTCTGCTGACTGTTATCTACTGAGGCAGAAAAGCAGTCCTTCCACCAGCACAAGCCCAGGCGAGGAGAACAAGAGAGGCAATGACAGTGATTCCTTAAGGACTAAGGCAGATAAAGTTGGGAAGAGAGTGTCCAGAGTCAGTACCCAGCATGAAGGGAAAACCCCTCTGAAAAGTGCCATCTCCACACAGGGGTCACCTTCCACAGTCTCCCCAGTGCAGAGGAGCACTAAGCAGACCACCCTCACTGAAATGTTTCCTAACATGAGTAGCTGATTGTTAACGGTCATTCAGCTTGACATGACTCTTTAAACACCCAGTAAGGTTTCAAACTTTCAGGGTTTTCACTTTTAACTAAAAGACTGTACTTAAATACGCATCTAGCTTTCAGTACTAATCTTCAGACTGTTGTCTTTAGATTTTGCATATTTCATTCACTGACTTACAAGTGGTAGTTTTGGGAGAGATTTTGGAAAAGGGCTGTGTAGAGTAACATGGAAACAGCCCTCAGTTTCACTAGTGCATTTCAAAGTCATGTACGGTTTAGAGGTTGAGGGGTTGATTTGTGTTAATTGCTGGAAAAAAAAAAAGTTATTTTTACACATGTTCCTAATTTCCGGAAAGCATCTACAGTTACTTCATTTTCTTAATGAATAAATACAGTAATGGAAAGCTTTCTTATGTTGTCATTCTGTTACGTCCAAAAAGGGCATAATAAAAGTGTATTTAGTGTATTTTAGGGTCAGTTTACAGTCTGCTACCACTGGTGACAGTTTTAACACCTTTGACAATAAAACAGGAATATACAGGGATTCCCATTTCCATATATGAATACATCCTTGTCAACTTTCGGCAAACCTTTTAATCTTGAGTTGTATAAACGCAGGCAAAAAATGGTAGAATAGAGTGCAAAGTGCATTTGGCTTGTCAGAATAGTTTTATCTGTAGAACAGATCGTACTTCTTCTTACCATTTAAAATAAACATGTTGTGTTGTTCTTGAAGCTGAAGCTGGCTTTTATATCTCCGTGCCACCTTTTAATGTTGGAACGAAAACATTGGGCCTCATTCACCAATATCTTCCCAAGTTTTTTTTCTTGGCTTCTGGTGAGGATGCCTTAAGACTCACCTACAGCAGGTTGTTTTTTCTAAACTTATCATCACCTCACTCCTCCCAAATTTGCATGCCTAGTATTACATGCCTGGTAGATAAGATAAAATAAAAACAGTTATCATTTTTCTTCAAGATATAGTCCAGTTACTGTACAGTCATTGTGCAGTGTTTGGGCAAGTTTTTAAAGCCATTTTTAGTATTTTGGTGTGCTGCAATTATGACATATAAGCCGTTCTTCCGGCAGTAAACACTATGTAGTTCCCTTTGCAATTAGGAAGTTCCCTCTCTAGCTCCCACGTTTCCTTTTATGGCGCTTTAGTTTCCAGTCTTGTCAGCACACTTGTGACCTTCTATCTCATAAAATGACTAATACTTCTTTTTACAGCACTATTCTAATAAACCTGTGACTGAAATCCTAGAAATTCGAAGTGGACCTCACTGAATGGCCTCAAATTACATTAGACTTATTTAGTTCACGTTAACCAGCTTGTGTAACACAAAGTAAATAACTAATGTAGGCATGTTTAACCAGGGGTTTCGCATTCTGACAGCTTTTGCCGGAGCTGAAGTCTAGTATTCAGATAAAAAAAAAAAAACAATAACTCAAATATGCAATTAAAATCTAAGAAACTGAAATATATTTATCAGCATTGCAATATACAAACTGATGACAGTGAGTATTCCACTTATATTTTTGTTCAACATCCTTAAGTATGATTTTTGTTTATTTTTAATCACAATATTTTCAGTCACCATCACATGCTTTTTAAGTAATCATTTAATGAGCTAGGCTACTGAATCAGGATCGCATCTTTAATCAGAGACAAATAGGAATCAAACTCACATGAAATGATTCAGCTAATATATACTAATCCTGCTCTGTTTGCTGGATCACCATCAGACTCTGCTAGATCCAACACATTCAGCTGAACAATTTGTGGCATAGTGATGGTTATTGCACTTCCGCATTACAGCCCACGTTTTAATGTGATTATTATAGTTCTAAGCTGCTACCAAAAATTTTACCTATTTGTCAACAGCACATAAGCAGTCTTAGTTTGGATTTTTCTAAAAACGGTACAGTAGGAGTTCTTTAGAGTTTGGCACTGGTAAAAGGACTTGCTTTATTTAGGCTGTGTTCAAAACCACATACTAACACACTACATACACCAAGCACTTTATTAGGGACACCTGTACATCTACTCATTAACTACCCAATTATCTAATCAGCCATTTGTGTAGCAGCAGTGTGTGCATAAAATCATGAATCATAAAATCAGATCTCCTAGTCTCTAGAGCAGGGGTGCATAACTCCGGCCCCGGACGGCCAATGTCCATCACAGTTTGATTATTTTACTTACTCAGACAAACCTGATCACACTTATCTGTTAATTACCAGGTTTAGTGGACGCGTTTGAGCAAGGAAACCTCCAAACTGTGCTGCCCTCCAGGACTGGAATTGTGCACCTGTGCTCTAGAGGTTCCTCAGAATGGTGCAATAACAAAACATACATTTTCTTGTATATTATCTTTGTTTTTGAGGTACATAAATAATGTTTGTGTGGTGTTATATACAAAGAACAGTTATAATTCACATTACATGATTGTTTTTTTAAACTCTCTATCTTTTACAGTTAAACAGGCCATTTTTGTTATTGTGCCTTTAAGACTGAAATGTTTATGTAAATAACCTCTGGTCTGATTGGCTGCCATTTTGTACCTGATTCAAAAAGCTGTCTGAGCTGAAACACTCTTTATAACTTCAGTGTGAAGGGGCAGGGCTAAACTGCTGAAAGCTGAATAGATATACACATAAGATTATGACCACCTGCCTAACATCCTGTTAGCCCTCTGCATGCCCCCAAAACAGCTCCTACTTGCTGAGGCGTGGACTCTACAAGACCTCGGAAGGTGCCCTGCACTATCCGGTACCAAGTCCCATTGACCAGTTCTTATATAAAGACAGGAACAGAAAGCAGAGACGGCAGTGGATGGTGTAAGACTGGAAAAACAAGGCACCCAGATGGTAGGTCAGGATTTGGTGCCAACAGTGACAATGAACAATGAATCCATGGACCCAACCTGCCATGTGTCAGCAGACCAGGCTGGTGGAGGTGGTGTATCTACTAGAACACATTAGGGATGTGATAGAATGGGAGATTCATAGCATCGAAAAGCACATAAAAAATTTGCAGGAAATGCATGATGCAATCATGTAAACAAGGACCAGATACTCAAAGTAATGTTTCCAACATTTTGTGGAATCCATGCCATGAAGAATTGAGGCTGTTTTGAGAGCAAAGAGAGCTCCTACCCAGTATCAGTATAGTGTTCCTTATAAAGTGCTCAGTGAGTGTAAGAAGTGTATCAAGTATATGATATTTAGTATAGTAGAATGCAGTGTGGGACACAGCCATAGCTTTCCTAATTCTCATGAACTAGAGGAAATATTAGAATAGCAAAAGTCATTTAATACAGCATTTATTGCTTTTGTATATATGCAATAACAGTAGGCTACATAGTGTGCACAGTTCTTATGAGGAAATTTATTGGTAAAGATGACTTCTGCAAAATGCTTATTAAATCAGCTAAATGCAGAAGCACAAGACATTTGTAGATTGATTTGAACAAAACAGGAAATAACCTTCAAAAGGAATTATACCATATAAAGTCAGTAGTGAATAAATGGCATGAAAATCGTACATGTGATGATGATGTGTATGTTGAATGTCCAATGGTTTGTTTCGCTTTGTTCACTGTTCTATGAGAAATGGGTCATGATTGACTCATCACTGACAAGCAGCCCACACTAGGACAATGCTAGAAACCCCTTCCACAGGTGAACGTTTTCCCTGCTCTAACACACTTAATTATCTTGTTACTTTAACGGAAGTTAGGAAATGCTGCCGCTGGATGATGGTGTGATCTTGTGTGCGTACCAACTGTGACATGTCATAGTGACTGGCATTTTCTACATGGAAATCGAGGAACTTTGAGAGGAATTCAACCTTTTTTGTTTTAGCAAAATTTCTAGATAGTAAATGAAATGGCTTTATTTGTCTTGTGTATATATAGCACCCCCTGATTCCTATCATCACCACTGTAAAGAAATCTGAGTCAGTACATTTCTCTACAATGAACCATTTCTTGTCAAACCACTCTTAATAACTTCACTTAACCATCTCAGCCACTTTTGCAGAAATTTTGAAATCAGTACAATTCTCATTTTTAAGGGCCCATATCATACATTTTCTTGTATATTATCTTTGTTTTTGAGGTATATAAATAATGTTTGTGTGGTGTTATATACTAAGAACAGTTATAATTCACATTACATGATTGTTTTTTTTAAACTCTCTATCCTTTACAGTTAAACAGGCCATTTTTGTTATTGTGCCTTTAAGACTGAAATGTTTATGTAAATAACCTCTGGTCTGATTGGCTGCCATTTTGTACCTGATTCAAAAAGCTGTCTGAGCTGAAACACTCTTTATAACTTCAGTGTGAAGGGGCGGGGCTAAACTGCTGAAAGCTGAATAGATATACACATATGAGCCAAAAGATTATGACCACCTGCCTAACATCCTGTTAGCCCTCTGCATGCCCCCAAAACAGCTCCTACTTGCTGAGGCGTGGACTCTACAAGATCTCGGAAGGTGCCCTGCACTATCTGGTACCAAGTCCCATTGACCATTTCTCTTGCATCCAACACATCAACTATGAGGTCCTCACAGAAATGTTCCAACATCTAGTGTAAAGACTTCTCAGAAGACTAGAGGCTGTTACTACAGCAAAGGGGAATAAACTCCTATACATACCATTGAATTTCAGAGAAACGTCGGATGAGCAGGTGTCTACAAACTTCTGGACATTTGTAATTCATTTTAATTTATAGATTTACGACATCAGAGATTTATTTATCTGTCAGTTTTTTTAGAAATTATTTTCTGTATGATTTAGAGACGTTTTTATTTTTGAGAGTCTTTTTGATTATTTTTAAATGACTACACATATCTGAAGATGGGTAAAACAGAAATGTATAATGAAAGATGTATGTCTGTTTCTATGTAAGTGTACATATAGGAAAGATAAATATTCCAGCATTTCGTTTAAACTGATTATACAAGCTTCTAGTTTCATCTAATATGCTGTGTCAGCTCACCCACAGCTTTAGACACGTCTTCTTTCCTACACACCTCTTTGACAGAGTTTTGTTTTGAGTAAATCAAATTTGGATTCACATCCTTGTGCTCCATACATGTATGGATGATGGTGGTATGTATTTCAGTAAGTGATAATAATAAAATATGCACATGTACTATGGCCATATGTACAGTGATAGACCACAAATTAAAATATGTTGTGTGTGTGTGTGTGTGTGTGTGTGTGTGTGTGTGTGTGTGTGTGTGTGTCAGAACAATAGAGGAAGAAAGGCTGTACATCACCAGCATCAAGTCTGGTTCCTCATCAGAGCTACTTAGGACACCTCTTCACCGTAGCTGCTTTCACAACCCTCTTGAGATTAACTAGCACAGCTGATCTTTTCTCCTCCTGACAAATACACATCGCTCTACCCCTCTGACACAGGTAAACACTTTTTGTTTCTCTGTATTTCTCTATGTTAGATTCAAAGGCAAGGCAAGGCAATTAATGTAATAATAATAACAACAAAAACTTACAACAAAAGCTCAAAATAAAATTCAGTAAAAACTAATTTTAAACTAATTTTAAACTTTTAACTAACATTCGACTAAATATCTATTACATGTAACTGAATTTGAGGTTGAGTGGGATATATTGTATTAAATCTAACCCTAAACCTAAACCTAGCCTTAACCTTAACCTCAACACAAAACATACACCTACCTCTAAACCTAAAACTAACCATAACGTTGTTGATAATCAACTGTTTATCATAAACTTTGTGAATAATTTAAATATCTGTAGATCATCTATAGGAGACCATCAGAATAAAATGTAATCCATATTTAAAATTTCCTTTGGTCATATGTTCTCTGAGCTCATCTGAGCACAAATCTGAAGAAATGTTTCAAATCGATCAGTCCTTATAGAAAAATAATAGTTGCCTTTTTTCTCACTCATCTAAATTTCTTTGGTCACATGGGACTATTTTGAACAAAACCACAGAAAACCTGTGTAACAAATTACATAATCTGAAAACATTCAAGTTACATATAATCATATTCAAATGGTTACATGTTTATATAAAAAATAACTAGTAAATTAATCACTTTAGGCTACTTAAAACAAGTTCTGTGGCACTTTTGGCACTTTTCTACAAAACTTTGTTGTCAGGAGTGAATGGGTTAAAAATCCATTTGAAATCCATTAAGAGGTCTTATAAAGCAGGAACTGTCAAATGAAAATTTAGAACAGATTTCTTCTTTTGAGATCAGTAGAGTAAAATATACCTGGATGTTGTTTGTTTCAAGGAATTATATGTATAATGTCATTGTACGGCTTGAGAGCTGACCATAATGCAACAGTGTGGGTATCTTAAGCTGAACAGCTGGTGAAGCTTTATTGCAGATGGAATCATAGCTGTGAAGTTTTGTAAGTTTGATTCAGTCAAGAAAGTTTGAGTCAGACTCTGTATGACTGTTAATGTCCAGGTTCACAGCACTGTCCAGATGTATTCCATCGGCTGCTCGAGGTTCCTGGCTTTGGTCATGGTTCCTATAGCAATTGTGAGCACTCTGGCCAATTTGCTGCTGCTCTTCCCCGACCTGGATTACCGCTACCTGACCGAAGGTCATGTGACTCGGGAGGCTGTATGGTGCACAGGGATATGGCTTTCTGGCTTTGTAGTAAGTATTGCACTTTGATTATATCAGGGTGATATTTTAGTGTTTTTTGTTTGTATATTTGTAAAAAAATAAAATAAAAATAAAGTATAGGTGTATTTTATATATACATAGTAGCCCAAACAGTGCTTTCCTCAAGTACAACAAATATATTATCAAATAAAGTTTTAAGGCAAATGACACCAATATAATTCCAATGTCATTGTGCATCCCAAATAAGAATAAGACTGAAGCATTTTATTATTATTAGGAGTTATTTTTTGTTATTATAACATGTTTATTGTAGTTTAGCAGCAGTAAATCTGTGGGGTTAAATTATTTAAAGACCCTTTCCTCTTTTATTTGACAGAATGGAACGTGCACGTTTGCATGATTAAGTGCATTATGCATTTGTTTATTTCTGTCATGTTTTGGTTCCTTAATGCTGATATGCTGATCAAGATCCCCTTTGAACCTCTGATACAGCCGAATATGGACATGCTACAAAACAGCCTTTTTTTCATAACGTCACACTTTGACCAGATCTTCATCTGTGGCTTTTTTTGTTTGGTTTGGCAACATGACATGTTTTGTCATGTGAACGGTTTGCTTCTTGGTTGTTGGGTACTTGCAACCAGACTGTGTGCATGTGCATGTGTTCTGTCAGGTGCTTGTGGCTGCTCGTGGATTTGCGTCAAGCCATACAAAAGAAGGATGCTGTCTTTTCAGAACTGATGTGAGTATTAAAAACTCTATCTACCACAGTGCAGTTATCTATTAGAACTGAGCTCAATATAATGTCACAATGCACATAATATTCAACATACATCTAATAAAGTGTTAAATACATACTAAAGGGACTTAACTACAAACTACATTTTCCTCACTTTTGTGGAATGCTTAGTGTAGTATGTAAACATTGTTAAATGACACAAGTTACCATTGACTCCAAAGTCTGACACTAAGTTACCAAAACAGCCCGATTTCATTACTTTTGTGATGTCATGAAACCCAACACATTAACATATATACATCTATTCTATGGAGTTCGATTCATGTCATTAAGAATTTGAATTTAAATGCAAAAATTTGAATTCTCAACTAAAATTGAAATGTAATGTTTGTAAGAGAGCATGATGATGTTGAAAATTCAGTTTCTAAAAAGTTTCAGTTTTGCTATTAATTCACATTTTCAGTTTTACTTAAAATAACATCTGGGTGTGTTGAAAGCAAAAGCAGTCAAACACCAAATCGTTTCAGCGTCAGGTAATAATGTTTGTTTAATAGCAGAAGTGGTGCAGAACGGCCGACAAAGCAATATTTTTTTGACACTGGACACGAGGGTATTATGCTTATGTTATGCATTGTTATGCTTGGTATTATAACGTCAATGTAATGCAGGGGTGCATAACTCCAGTCCTGGAGGGCCGGTGTCCAGTACAACGTGGTGATTTTCCTGCTCGAACTCACCTGATTCAACCCGTCTATTTATTGCCAGGATTAATTGGTGTGTTTGAATAAGGAAACTACAAACTGCTGGACAGTGGCCATACAGGGCCAGAGTTGTGCACTCCTGATGTAATATATCAGATCACACCCTTAGAAAATGTATTTTAAGGGTTCCTTAAAAGGCAATGGCTAAATATAAAACCATGACAGCTCATTTGAATGCATATAGTTCTTTACAGAACCTTTAAAATGGTTCTGTATAGCATAAAACATGATGTGCTATTGTTAGTCTTAGAACCTTTATAGGTACTATATAGAACCCTTTTTGCTAAGAGTATACACTACATAACAATATGTAGCTGAACAGGTATGCTAGCTGGACATGCCCTTTTTCATTTTAGTGTACAGGATTCAAATAACATGTCTCGACAAAAAATCCTGACTTGACAGTTTCTTTTTCCTAGATGCTGTGTCGGACTGCGTACTCGTGTGTGGCTGCGTGTGCGGCCGGCTTGTGCTTTGTGATCAATGATAAAGGACTAAATAATGGTCCGCTGTGTCTGCACAATGGAACTGAGGGTCTAGAGTGGGAAAGGCCTCTGAAACGCCAGAATCTGGAGTAAGTGACACATTCAGCTTTCATAAGTCTCAAAACAGTATGGGGAAGTATACATAGATGATGAAGTGGGTTTTAAGATAGATTTATTCAATTAAATAAAAAAAACTCATGCTGACCCCTGAGCCTGAAAGACACAAGGACACGTCTTATTTCTGTGTCACGACAAGCAGCATAGTCAGGCATGTGAGTGTGACATAGGCATGAGCTGTTGAAGAGTAATGTGAGTGTGACACGGATGTGAGCTTTGTGTACTATTTGTCTAAAAGTGTCCAGACAGCTGTTAGTCCAACACTTTTTCTGAAATCAAGGGTATGGTTCCAGCTGTCCTGCACAGAGAGCCATTCCATTACAATTAAATTTATATTTACATTCAGTGGCTGTTAAACTTTGTATCTCTGAAATTGTAGCTTGATAGGAAAAGGGAAAATGTTCAGTTTTAACTTTAATGTTTAAGTTAATGGGTTTATTCCAAGTACTTTTGGACCATTTCTATTAATCCATTAATTCTGAAATGAACACACAATGATTCACAGCTGGAAGCTGGTGTTATGAAATGAGGTTAAAAAAATGTTTTCACATGCAACAGTTTACTCATCTAGCAGTCACTTGTGCAAAATATGCAAACAGTGGAATCCAAATTGGTTCAAGGTACCCAGAAAACCTGTAAGGATTATATAATATGGTGGTGATAGGAACCAGAGGATTCAATGTCTATAACACAAGTAAATACCTTTTATTTTCCAAAACCAGCAGTGGACCTACGTATGTCAGGTTTTCATATGTAATGCTGGTTATAGTAAACAAAAAAATATAAATGGAAACAAAAACGCTTACTTTGGGTACTATTTTGCCTTATAACGCCCTGCATGAACCACCCTTCCAAAATGAATAAAATAAAAATAGATTTTAGCCCAAAAGCTAACATGAAAACTATCATAAAACAATATCTCAACATATTAACAACCATTTCAGGTAAAAACTTTCTGCAATGTAGCTTTTAGAGGCAGTAACTGCTTCAGACGCCTGGTTCCCAACACAACCACTGTGCATAATAAAGTTTTTCCAGGAGGGAGCATTTCACATCAAACCATTTTGAATGACTTTGTTTATATCTGAACAATTGCATTAGGCAGGTGGTGTGAAAAATTGGTGGAATTTCCCTTTGAATTGTTATATCTGTATACATATGCAGACCTATAGAACAAAAATAAGTGGAACATTTTTTTTCTTCCTTTTTTGTTTGTAAATAAACACAAATGTACAGTGTGAAGAAATGTTGAAGAAAAATAGGAAAAAATAAACAAAATAAGAACTGAATGTTGGAATTTTGCTGTTGGAATGTTGCTTCAGTAAATGGCTGAATGTGTGTGTGATTCTGTTGTAGTGAGTTGAGTTACCTGTATAAGCCTGAACGGTGGGCCTCGGCCTGTGTGGAGCCTCGTGGTGTGGTGATGTGGAACATTGTTCTCTTTTCTATCATCATGGCTGCCAGCGGACTTCAGGCTATCATCTGTACTGTGCAGATCCTACACGCTGTGCTTGGTGTGGTTTTTGGACCTGGCTTCTGTAAGAACAAGGTAAAGGTGTTAATGTTATTCTCAAATTTGCAAATAGTATAAAGATCTTGTGAGTGAACAGATTTCTAACTAGCTGTTTATTGCTTTTGAGAGATAATCATACTGGGTCACAGAAAACAACTATTAAAAGATCAGATCAATATAGGCCTGGTTTAATAGACATGGATTAAGCCTAGTTTTTGACTAAATGACAATGTTAATAGTAATTCACCATTAAAAAATCCTGTTTAGTCCAGGCTTAAGACTAATCTATATCATGAAAATGGGGGCATAATGTCCTAATTGAGAGACTGTAAAACTCAAAACACGTTAGTGTTAAGGTTTGATTGAAACAGTGGGTTCAAGTGAAGAGACAAGACTCTTAACATTTTCACATGTTTTATAGGTTGCTCCTGCTTGAAGAACCCAAAGGAGTGGTTTGGTTTCCTAAAAGCAGGTGTGGGTGCATTTTACATCATAATGCCTGTTATATTATATGCTGCAGTTTCTGTTTGAATTATTTTGCAGAACACAGGATTTGCAATGTAACACAAAAGCATTCCTGCTTTCTCACATACAGTCTTATGCAAACATTTGAATACCCCAGTCAAATGATATTTTGTTGATTTTCCAAGTGAAACAGAGAACACACTTTAATATGCTATTTTTCTAAGAAAAAAATAAAATAAAATACAATAAAAATATTTTATTTTATTTGTTAGGTTTAACATATTGGAAAAATATAAAATGTGCCATAACTTTTGCACAGGCCACATTGTATGCTTCCATAAATAAAATAATTAGTTGTACAGATGTGTGTTTACTGTGAAGGATGTGTTTTTATTTATTTTCACTTAGAAAATCAACAAACATGTAATTTGACCAGGAGTGTTAAAACTGAAATGCTTTATTTTTGGTGATTAAGACGTGTTTCTACTTTTATTGATTGAGAAATGTTTCCAGAGTCTCTGTTTGTTTAGAGGGTGATCAAACTCAGCATCCAAATCAAATCAAAAAAGAGGAATAGGAATTTGACAGTGAGTCCTGAACCTCAGGCAAAAAGAGCTTCTTTACTTTTGCAACATTCCAAGACATTCCACTGTGAAGGAAACATAAAGGGTTAAAAGGTCTTTTTCTTAAGTAGAGCTTAAGACTGGCCTTATAATAGATCAGTGAGTCACCACTGGAAATCTATTTCTGGTCTGGCAAAATGGCCAAAAATATCCTATTTCTGCAACTGTTATGTATTATGTTGTACTTATTCAGGGCACTAGAGGTCACTCTATCTACACTCATTTTTAGCAGTCGTGACATTCAGGGATCACCTACAGTACAGAAAGTAGACAGCTTTTCTGCATTTAAATGTGAATTTAATGTTCTTATTTAACAGATTGTTCTATTTTTTCATGGTTTTCGTTATTGCTGATCTTTTTTTCCGTTAACAGTTACAGTGGCTTCAGTATATCATGTTCCGTTACAGTAGCTACAGTGTATTATGTTAATTCAGCGCTATCTGAGGTATCTGTGACAATTTGTGAGAATGTTTTAAGACAGTTGGTGAAAAGGTATTTAGCTTCTTATAAATAATTATTAAGTAAATTATATGTAATCAATTTCATATTAACTTTTATTAACTTTTGAATGACTTGCCTTCCTTTTGTATATTGTATTTATTTTTTGCATAAACGTGAATAAAGCCAGGGCATCTAAAGTTTTAAATTGTGGTCAGTATGTTTGATCTTGTGTCTTCTGTTCTGTGTACTTACCTCCTTCCCTAACCTTTAAAATTTGGTGTGTTATTATACAAATAATAACATTTATTACTGACAAAGGTTATGTTATGAATGAATCATGTTATGAATGATAAGTGAAGAAATTTTTAACAAATGATGAGAGATGTGTCATATCACTAAAATGATTTGAACTCAATTAAAGGGCCCAAAGTTAAAAGTGTCAGAACATACAATTACCCCCTCAGTCCATACAGTCCATGTGTGGAAACTAAGCTGCATAAACAACCCATTTTCAACATGCAAACATATAGCCATTAAATAAAGCCACTTAACAGTTTAGAGCTTAAATAACTTTATATTTGAGTTAAGGTTACTTTCTATCTTTCTACATCATTCAAATCTATCTGATTTTAAATAAAGTGCATTAGCTAGCTATGCTATATTATTTAACGCTACCTTGGATGGAGTTGGGCAGTAGTGGGTAAGAGTGGGCTTTTCCTGCTGTGTGTAAATAAAAGAGAACTCATTTGAAGAGCTTTGTTTCCTGTGTCTTCTTCTACGCCGACACCACAATATACTCACACTGTATGAAAACACTCGGTCCGTGCCACATAAAACACAGATAGCTGTGTCTATGAACAATTTCAACTAAAGGTGTTTCATTCAAAATAACACACTGGGCACAGAGTACTGAGCAGAAACACTGATAAACTGATACAGCAGCGCTGCTCACACTGTGCACTGAAGCTAAAAGCAAATGGTGATGTACACGGTAGGACAATAAGGTCTCACTACAGCCTATTTTACAAAAAAATCACCATATTAACTTTTATACCTTGTTATTCTATTCAGTCAAACAGGAAAAAATTCAGCATAGACAGATTGTGGTAGCAAACGTCAATGTTTTTATCCACGTAGCTGACCTTGCTGTAATGAGGATTCCTTGCGAGAATCTGCCAAGGCGGAATGTTTTAAATGACCGATGACTTTGTGTCCGGCTATGACGGAGTTTTAACTCTTCTCGTCGTCACTCTTCTCTGTGTGAGCAGAACCTCCTTCTCTGCGTTTGTTCATTAGCATGGCAGCGACACTCGGATTGCGTCACAACAGGTTTCAGAACGTTGGTATCGGTGCATTTTGATGAGCGTAAGTAAACTGGTGCAGTATTGAACCAGTATCGGTATCGATGCATCTCTACTTTTTCCACCCACTGTTCACTCTTAGACACACCTACCTTGTTGATCCACCTTGTAGATGTAAAATCAGAGAAAGTAACTTATGTGTTGCTGCACAGTTTGTGTTGGTCATCCTCTGGCGGTCACAGGATGCTGCCCACAGGACAATGGACCTCAATTAAATAACATAAAACTTTAAAATGTAGGATAGAGGCCCTTTAATACTGAAAACACTGGACACTGGAACAGTAAGAAATACTTTCTTCTACTTCCTAATATAAGTGAATATATTTTAGATTCTTTGTTCATTTTTTGTTTGTTTCACTCAATAAACCAGATATGTAATAGCGTTTAATAGCAGTATTTTTCAAATGAGTGCAGTTACGGAGCGTGTTGTGTTGTTCAGGCAGTCTAGCTGTGATCAGTACTGACCTATTAAAAATGAATTTATAAATAGCTCCAAACTGAAGTTCAAAAAAGAATCTGTTGATCTTGAATGAGCACCATGTTGCTAACACTATAATCCTTTGGAGAAAGGGTCAGTCCAGTTGTTTGAAGGAGGTGAATCCCTGAGGGCTGTATTGTCAGGATGCAGTTCATAAATTTAGTCTCTTTGATTAGTTCTTTCTACTTCCTTTCTTTTTTTTTTTAGTTTGTTTTCCCTCTTGTTTTCCCAAGGGCTTCCTTGTCATGTTTCTCCTCTCTTCCCTTCCCTGAATGTCCGTTATTTGAAGTGAACACACACGCTCACATACTCCTCTCATGACGCTACACTTGTCTCAAACTTTACTTTTTACATCTTTTTAAAATTTTAAAAAGACTGTCAGCTTAATCCCTTTTTTACTTTTTTACAGCAGCCATAAAATGGTATTTCAGTCTATTTGGAGGTCCTTCATTTCAGCCTCGAATTTTAATAGTTTGAATTTAATTTTAATTCTATTTTGAATTAACCCCTTAAATGGCCAAGGCCCATCGGAGGACCCACACTTCAATAACCTGGGAATAGCTCAGACAGCTTGCATTGTAGTCCCTGTTGTTACTGAATAAGCTTTATCATGTAATAAGCCTAGACTTTTAAGGGGTTAAACTAATTTACTTGATTATATTGATAAAAATATCTGACAAGCTGATTTCGATGCCATATTTAAGTGTGTTCTCTGTGGTGGATGTGTTTTCCACTACTTCTTATTTTCATTTAGAAAATCAACAAAACATGTAATTTAATCGGTGGTGTTTAAACTTTTGCAAATGACTTTATTGCTCGCTTTTTCTAGGTTTTTCCATAAAATTTTCATCCAGAAGTTTGAGTCTTTCCCAAAAACTCAGTAAAAGTCAGTAAAGGATCTATTTTTGGATTTACTTGGTTCACGCTGTGATTGCAATGGGAAGTGGAGTGAATATGTTGAACAATACACACGTTTCTGACACTTCCTGCTGCTTATAAGATCAGGGAGGTGGGCTTTGATCTTGTAAATGAGCAGCAGTGGTGCATTTGTTGCTTGGCTCTCATCAAAACACTGTCTTTGCTTACTATAGCACATGACTGTGGCAGCCATGAAAATTGTTTAAAACTTCCAGCTGTAAGTGTGTTTTTGTCTCTAGCTCATCATATAACATTTAAATAAATATAAACAAACATAAATATAGCTAAAAGTAGACTTTCAGGCCTTAGCTTGGATTCACGAGGAGTCACCAGCTTGTGGCATGTTAAGTATTTATCTTAATTGTTTGCCACACCATGGAAAACCTTGAATTTCCCTAATTTTTTGTTTAAATAAAACTGTTTTATATAGAACAAAACATACCATTCACTCCCTGGTCTGTATATGGACATTAAGCTGTATAAATTGTCCTTGTGATGTCACCAAAACCAACACATTTACATATCTCCCCATATACAGACTACAGCAGTTTAGCCCCTCCCATTCATGGTGAAGTTGTAAATAAGATTTTTAAATCAATCACAATACTGCGCTGTTAAAAAAATAAATAAATGTTCACACAGTAATTTACAGTGCCGTATTAATACTAACAGTTAATACTGTGTTCTCTTACTGTAATGTAGCTGTACACTTACAGTAATAAGCTGTAATTAAAATACAGCAATCTCCTGTGTTTTTACACAACAACTGTAAAATAAAGCAACTCTGTAGCAATAATTTAATTTTACCAGGCCTATAATTAAAAAGACATACCATTGAACACACGTATTTACTATGTTTTGCATTGTACATGCACAGAAAATCTAAAATATGTATATTTTGAAATGTAACTACACATTTAGAATAGAATAGAATAAAATAGAATAATTTATTGTGCATTTTATTTACATAAAATGGAATTTTCTCTTCAGCACTGGCATACAGAAACACCACAGCACACACAAAAAACAAAAATATAAATATTATAAAGATACAAGAAGAGAAGGGAACAAAAATCACAATACACATTCACAAAATAATCAATATACCACAGATAGACAAATGCACACAGGGGAATTCATTCTCTAAGAAATTCATTTAAACCCAGATATTTAAAGCATTGTCACAGCTGATGGAATAAGAGATTTTTTGTAACCATTTTTCCCAGACATAGGAGGCTTTCAGTCTTCGGGCTGATGGCAGAGAGGCTGAGTGAGGAGGGTGAGTTGGATTGGTATAAATTTGTTTCCTACACTGAAAAAACATGTCCATCAGTTAAGGCTGTTTATCTCTTATGACCTTACTAGTCT